CAACATTTTCTTATTCGTGCATCATATAGTATCTGGTCTCCAGACACTGCTGGAATTCAACACCTTGAAAACCAGGATTATTGGACTAACTTCCTGGGGTTTTGTTCAGAAATCTCTGAGGTGGCTTGTTACAAGTGGAGCGCTGGTGCTACACTGTTGGCCCAGGGCATTCCTGACCTCCAAAAAAATCCTCTGGAGCTTTTTTCTGCCTGTTCTGGTAGGGTCCTCATTGCTCCTTGGTGCATGTAGTATGGCGGGGTATGGCCCAAAGGATGTGGGCAGTGGTAGGGAGAACCCAGATAAATTCCTGGTCACTTTCTCGATGAGACTGTGAGGCCACTCTCTTCTGGCTGACAGGAGGAAGCTTGCTGGTTCCATATGCGGAGGTTTCTAGGGCCCCTGGCTGTGGCCTGATGAGATCTGCATGGGGGATTATTGATGAAGGGGAGGTAAGGAAGCTCTTTACTGTAACACATTCCTCACTCTGGGACAGTGGCCAGACAGCTAATTAGAGAGCCCAGCAGCTGTCCAGCCTTTCAGGAAGGAAGCAGCATCTACCTGGTGCCAGGACATGGGGTAGGAAGAAAAGGAAAGAACTAGGGAGCCAGAGACCACCCTCCCACGAGTAGGAGTTGGACCTTCAGTGTTTGCTCAGAGAGGGACACTGAAAGAGGCATATTAAGGTAGAATGAGCTAGATGAGGAAGAAGAAGGGAAGAGAGGAGAATGACTGGACAAGGTGGCTTCCAAACAAAAGAGAAGGTGGAGGCAGACAGGGAAATCCAGATCCAATCCTAAAGTGAGGGGGCCAAATGGAAGGACAGGGCCAAGTGTGCTGGAGGCCCAGTTGTCATCTTTAACCACTTCCTTGTGCTCCTTCTTACCAGGGGAAGCTGGCCAGAGACAGTTTATCCCACGGGGGATTTGGAGCACCAATTGCATTTGTAGCTGTTCATGGTCACTCCGTGGTTTGGCAAATTGCCAGATCCATTACTGTTTAGGGCTGGTTTTACTACAGGATAAGTAAAAATAGTTGCTCTGGGTCATGTGGAAAGAACTGGGGGCTTCAAGGAACCAGAGGGCCCCCTAATGGGTTTTGGGGGGATCTTCTCTACTTTTTGGGCACCTGGGTAGGGGAGTGTATATAATTGTTCTTTGTCCAGGTTCCTGTCACAGAACTCCAAAACCCTTGCAATTTCCTGAGTGATAGAGTGTCTTTTGTTATTCATAATGATCCCTTTTGATCACACCTGAGTTTTTGCCAATGAAGTAAGTAGTGTGGAGCCCAAGCTAGCCCCAGGATGGGGCCAATTCCCAAAAGACCAAGTGAGATTAGAGGGTTGGAACTTCTAGTGCCGTCCACCCACCTCTGAGAGTATAAAAGCTTGAGCATCATTTGCTGAGCTCTCAGTTACTGTACACCAAGAGGTACTGCGAGGCAGAGGAATGCAAGTCCGACCCCCATGCCCTGCTACATCCATCTCTTCATCTGGCTGGCCTGGTAAAGGTATGTTCTCATTAGGTTGTTTTTTTTTTTTCAGTACTGGAGTTTGAACTCAGAGCCTCATGTGAGCTTGTTAGGCAGGTGCTCTACCATTTGAGCCACTCCGCCAGCCCTTTTTTGTTCTGGGTATTTTTGAGACAGAGTCTCAAGAACTATTTGCCTAGGCTGGCCTCCAACAGCAATCCTCCTGATTTCAACCAGCACCTGGCTATTTTCATTAGTTCTGTGAGACATCCCAGCACATTAATCAGACCCAAAGAGGGCTCATGGGAACCTTGGCTTGTAGCCAGCCTATCAGAAGTACAGGTGACAACTTACTACTAATTGTGATTGGTAAGCAGTCTTGTGGGATTGAGCCCTCAAAATGTGAGATCTGGTGTTATCTCAGCATAGAGTGTCAGAGTCCCAATGAATTGGGGGATAAGCAGTGTCGTTGGCTGGAGAACTGCTTGGGGGGGCGGGTGTTCAGGAAGCCCCACATAGCTGTGCTGTGTGAGAGAGTGTTTTATCTTTTCCTGAGAGAATCAGGAAGGGTTAAGAAAGAAGAGAATGGGAAGGTAAATGGGTTGGTATTTCCTTGCACCCTTTCTGGCTCCAGTTTTAGGTTCCAGGCCATGGAACAGGGAGGAGAAAGGAGGATTTGAGTCTGGTCAGAGAGGAAGACTGAATCCTGCAAGCCCAGCTTACCCTAAATAGTTATAGAATAGAAAAAATGATGCAGAGGAATTTCCTGCCAGCAGCTACTGGCTAAACCTCTTTGGGAAACGAATCCTCATGAGTGAAAACTGGCTATACCTTTTGCAAGTGCACATGCACTGTAGAAATAACAGAGTAGGCATTGTTACTACTCTCTGACCTCAATCTCCCTGACCCCCACCCATGTAGGAGCCTGCAGTGTCCCTGGGGATGCTGTTTCTGACTCCCCTGTGTGAGTTCAGACAGGTCTTCTGTACTGTCTCAACTTAAGCCACCCACTCTGTCTCTCCTCACTTCAGCCAGTGTGATGGCACTTGGAGCTGAGAGAAAGGAGCGGTCTCCTACTTGCTTTCCTCATCTGCAGAGACAGTCTTAACTATTATAGACTCACGTTTCTTGTGCTTACTTGGAGTCCTTCCATGTTGGTGCTCTAGAAATCAGAGACAAACACAAAACACATTACTGGGCTTGGTTAATATGCTGGATGACTCTCTCACCCAAGAATTTAGCTGGACCCTTCACTCTGCTTATCCATCCATCCAACAGAAACTCTGTGGTCTTTAGGAATTCATCATTCCTGGGTGAAACAGACACATATGAAATAATTCGGATGGTAGAACACATCAGTGGAAAAAGTCCTATGGAAGAATCAGGGATGGGATGACCTGGAGACTGTAGGATGGCTTCACAAAGGTGACAGTCGGGTCTGGAAAGAGTGGGAGGGGGTGGACTGCACAGGAGAGCAGGAAGTATGGCCCCTGATCCAAGCTCCCAGGAGCCAGCACCTCGGGCAGGTTGATGGAAAAGTTAGATGGGAATTCTGCTGTATGTTTACAAAATAAGCAGCCCACAGGGAGAACTGAGTAGATCACATCGAGTGAGAGACATGCGCAGAAGCGCACCTTAAGGTCAGCCTTAAGGTTCAGGAGAGAAGCAGTTTGAAGAAGTGCTATGTATGTGACTCCAGAGGGGTGACTGGAGCCTGGGGACTAGGGTTTGAATCAAATGTGTGGGCTTGGCCAAATCTCTTAATATCCTGAACCTCAGTGTTTTCATCCCTAGAACGGGTTGTCATTTCCACCCTCCCTTTCCCACAGGAGTCCTGAGAGAGTCATGAGAGACGATGTACGTTAGAAACCTAAGTTCTATCCACATGTTCATTGCTGTAAGGGCTCTTCATATATTCATGTGCTCCATAGACTTCTGGTTAGGGTCGTGTAGTCCACAAAGGATTCCATGGGCTGTGTTTGCTGGTGTCTGCTCTTAAGGGCCACAGAGTATCAGAGGGAGTTAGGGACAGCTTGTGCTGTTGGTGGAAGAGGCAGGACCCCTGCTACCTCAGCCTCTCATCCATCCCTACCAACTCCCTGGGGAAAGACCTGCAGACCAGGAAGCAGGAGGTGTTCAGCCAGAAGCTGGCTCCCAGACAGATCTGCTCTGACCACCATGGCCTCATCTGTCAGGGCAAGCACGGCGGCCAGCAGCGAGCTTCCAGGGCTGGCTGCAGCACCGCCAGGCTCTGCTGGCAGGATGTGGTCTTTGGTTTCTCTTTCTGTTCTGACTTGTGCTATTGCTGTGGTCTGCTTAAGGCTCAGGGAAGGGGAAGTGCTCATGGGTGAGACTGACTCCTCAGGCCATGTGTCACGGTGGTGTTAGTGGTGAGAGTATCAGACATGCCCCTGTTAAGGCCCTTTCTTCAAGGTGATAGGTATGTGCCAGGGTGGCCTCTGCCCCCATCAGGAAGGCTGGGAGAGGGGAGGAGGAGGAACAGGTGGGGGAGGGATGGAGGTTTCTGTTTGTGGAAGAGCTGGGGAGCTGACAGGAACAGTCAAGGCTGAGCACAGCAGCCCACTGCACTTCACACCTGCTCTTCACTCTCCCCAAGGGGAGACCCAGAAGCTGCCCCCCAAAAGCACACTTGATAGGGTGTGGCTCAACTCCCCAATCTCTCGCTTTCATTTCTAGCCTCCCCTGCTGCTTCACAAGTTATCTGCTTAGGGGACAAAAGAGGAGGATTTGCTTCTGTTCAGAGCCTGGAGAAGGACGAGGGAGTGAGGTGATAGTGGGGGGGGGGGCACCACCTCCCACTCCCAGCCATGCACTCATTTCCGAGGAGCCACCATGCTTGGCAGAACCCTGTCCTTGGGCCTGTATAGGCACTGTGTCAAAGCAGTTCCAGAGGGAGTAAAGGCACTTGCACATGTAATAGAACAAAAAAATGTTACTGTCCCCATCAAATGGTCAAGTCTTGGGGATATTATCTAAAAACATACATGCAGCAAAGAAAGACTTATATCATCTCGTAACCAGTTGTTAATGTTCATAGGAAGAGCCTCAGCAGTAGTCATGGTAAACAATACAGTGATAAATATTAGGGGGGTGGATTGCGGGTAGGGGATTTTAGCACATTGTTTGTTTCCCTGTTTTTCTTTGTGTGGTTGTACTTGACTCCCAAAATGCTAAAACAGATGTCCTACACTGTATGCATTCCATGAGGTTCTCAGCTGCCCTTGATGACAGATGTCTCCACTGCAGGGTGAAGGTAAGTATAATTCAAAGCTGAGAATGGAGCTGGATTCTAAAATTATATCCCCTTACAGGTTTACAAGTGTGCACACACTCATTCACTCATGACACAAGAGGTCCTAAGTCTTAACCCTGTGTGTAGATTGGCTAGGAACCATGCCAGGCTTTCATGGCTGGCTTAATCAGCCCTAACCAGATAGCATAGCGGGGATGAGATAGCAGGTTCCAGGAGAGCCTTGGTGCCCTGGTGATGAGCCCTTGGCCTTGAATCTATTTCTCTGGCTGGCCTGGTGGCTCAGATCTGGGAGCAGATTAAGCTAATAAAGGCCTCCCCTTTTATTCCCAGGGACACATGGAAGCTGTCCGTCCACCAGCGGAGGATCAGCTGAGCCCTGGGGCTGCTGCTTGCCCGCAGTGCTGAAAATGGCACTAAGGCCCAGTCCGACACCAATGCAAAGTTAAGCTGAGACTTTTCCTGCACAGTGATCCTGATGTCTGTTCTGAGCCGTGCACTCAAGGCTGTGATAAGTGAGTATATTTCTGGCACCCAGGGGATCACTGGGTGATGAAGTGCCTGGCACTTCATCAGCACGGGCACAGGTCGGGGGGTTGGAGGGGGGTTCCAGTTCTGAGCCCACTTCCTGCCCAAGGATCTGTCATATGGCTGCAGTTCTGAAATGGGAGAGAAGTGTTGAGCATTTCAGGCATGTCACTGTTGGAGTCATCTTATAGTTACATGGCCTCTACAGAGCGGGCCAGACCCAGACAGGCTGACATAATGAAGCCAGACACCAGTACCTGGGGGAGGACATTGTCCCATGTCTTTCTTATCAGTAGGCTGCAGTACACCTTGGGCATCTGGCTTTACATCCATTCCGTACTCACCTAGAATCTGGATTCTGCCCATGTGCCATGAGCAATTCTTATAGCATTGACCAGGAAGCCTTGGGTAAAATATCCAGGGCCTTGAGATGAGAGAATTTGTTTGAGACTTAGCTGCCATAAAGGTGATCCTCCTTGCTCCCCCCAAAAGGTCAGGAGGGGCAAGTCCTGTGGCTTTCAGCAGCATTTCGTCTTAAGTCTAGACAACCTCCCACTTAGGGTGAAAGGCCCCTGACTGTGGAGCCTTGCCTGTTGTCCTCATCTGGCCTTTTTTTCCAGCCTCTGTCTCTGGCTTTTCCTTGATGATGCTTTAAAAAAAATGACAATTGGCTGCCTTCCCAAGCCCCAGAGGCCCATCTGGCCTGAAGGCTGTTACATCTGTACAGAGCAGACAATCCAACGGTGGGATCAGGGACCAGCAGGAAGGGAGCTCCCTGCAAGGCAAGGCGTGTAGAGCTGGCGCTTGGGCACTCTTACCTGGACAGGATTTTTAGGAGCTAATGGCCTTAGGAGTTAGTTCATGGGAACCCCAAGCCTTAGATTCATGCAGGAATGTGCAAGGAGTGGGAAAAGGGTAACCAGAGGGCTGGAGGCATGGCTTAAGTGGTAGAGTGCTTACCTAGCAAGCACAAGCTTTGAGTTCAAACCCCAGTACTGCCAAAAAAAGAAAAGAGTAACCAAGTATTTCTCAGCTTTTAGGTTGTTCTTGACTTCCCAAATGAGAGTTCACAGCTCACGGCCAGAATCTGTTTTCCATAAAGCTTGGCCTTGCAAAATCAGTTTGTGACGAATGGGTCTTTCAGAAAGGTGTTCTTGAGCTGATTTGTAGCCTGGGTGGTGTGAGTGAGCCTAGACTTAAAGAGGTTTGGGAGTGGGGGGAAGGCCATGGAGGCCACCGTGGGAACATAGTGACCCAGACGCAAGACCTATTTCCCCATATGATACAGATCTCCTAGCAATTTATAGCATCATCCTTAAGATTACTGGACCCCCTAGTCCAGTGATTCCATTTCCGGAATTACTCATTAAGAAATCTTTCATTAGAGTCAGACATGATGGTGTACTCCTATAATCTCAGCACTCAACAGGCTCAGGCAGAAAGATGGCAAGTTTGAGGTCAGCCTGAGCTACATAGTGAGGCCCTGTCCAAAAAAAGAAAAAAGAAATCTTTCATTAGAAAATTGTCCCGAGGGAAAAAAGTGGTGAATTCTTTTGTTATAGGCATAAAAGGTATTTCTGTGGTGTCATTTGTAATAGCAGAAATGGGAAATAATTGTCCCTTTGTTGAACATCTTGGTTGAGTAAATTACAGTTTTCCACTTGGTGGAACATTGCATGGCCATTTTAATAATGAGCATATAGGCTCCATTACAACTTGCAAAAACAGTTACGATATAAGTGAAAATGGAAGGTTTTAGAATAAGTACATTACAGTAACTTGTAAAATGCACACTTGGGGAAGGACTGCAAGGAGGAAATGATAATGGCTATTAATTTGTCATTATGAATGCTTTTTTTCTTTGACTTGTTTTAAAACAATTTAATCTGGGTGACTATAAAATGTACCTTAGTGACCTTCTCTAAGATATGATATGGGGGGGGGTAGGGGGAAGAGGAGGGGGTGGCAGGTTGCTTGCCAAAGTCATTCCTTTCCATAATGTTTACATTTCAGCTGTGAGCGCACATATTTTAGTAATTGAAAAAACAATAAAGATATTTTAAGTGCTAGAATTAAAAATTTAAAGGCTCTATTTCCCAAGAACAGAAGGAGAAAGGCTGAGTTTGCTAGTTGTTTAATCTGTCCTCATCAGTGTTTAAGGATTTGGGACTGTTTGAACCCATCCATCCATATATCCATCTATCATTCCAGTATTATTAGGTATTATTGCCTTTTTAGACACTGGTTACCCATTGAAGAAAACAAATCCTGTCCCTCATGGAGCTTTCATTTTAATTAGAGAAAGACCATAAACAAGTAGCAAATTATTAGATAATGCTAGGAAAAAATAAGATTGTCTAGGTATGGTAGTTCATGCCTGTAATTTCAGCACTCAAGAGGCTGAGATGATTGAGAGTTTCAAGTCAGCCAGAGCTACACAGTGGGACCCAGTCTCAAAAAAAAAAAAAAAAAAAAACCAAGAGATAGGATAGTATGAGTGACAGGGAGGCTATTTTGGATTGGGAAAACCAGAGAAGGCCTCAGAGGGATGACAGCTAATCTGAGACCTGAGTGACAGCAGGGAGACAGCTACATGAAAGTCTGAGAAGAGCATTCTAGTCAACACACAGGATGCCCAACCTGTGGGCCCTACCTTCAGAGTGCCCTTTGCACCATAACCCTGTGGACCACAGGGCCAGGAATGACTCCGTTCTTCAAGGTCACTTGTCCCTGTGGCTCCCACCTGGGACTTGCTTAGTGGTGGAGTCCCTCTAACAACCTTTGTGGAATGGTTGTTTCTGACACTGCTGTTTGGGCAGATGGTTCCTCTGGGCAGCCTGCACACAGGCCACTGTTCTTGGCTGGCATTTCCATAGCAGGCTCAGCCTCTTGAGATTTTCACATCAGGGTGGGCTGGCGATAAAGAAGGCTCTGGGTCTTGTGTGCCTTAGTGAGGGGTCTTTGAATAGCTCATGCCTTGATGCCCTGGGCTGGCTGCTGCTAAGATCCTGTGAGGGTCAGCTTTGACCTTGGAGGACCTGTGTGTGGCTCCTGCCAAAACTTGGCCTGAGCCCTTGGTACTTCTGACACCCAGTTCTGAGCTTTGCCAATGGTTCAGCTAGAAGCACGTGTTCATCTCCTTGCTTCCTGTTCTCCAGATCCATTCCAGCCTTCCAGAAGTAGAAAGTCAGAGAATGGTAGTATCCTCAGAGCAGTGTGCAGTCAGCCTTTGGGGCACTGCAGTGTGCTATTAGAGGTAAAGACTCTGGAGCCAGACTTGTAGGATTTAATTCCCAGCACAGCAGTTTAGAGCTGTAAGAATGCAGGCTAATTATTTAGCCTTTCTCTGCCTTACTTTCCCCCTCTGTAAAATGGACTTGGGAATTATCTGACCCAATAGAAAGTGTTGAAAAGTGCTCCTGGTTATTATTTTGACTTTGGAGGTGAGAGTGGGCCCCATCAAAGCCTTCAACATCACTGATCACAGGGGGCTGTACTAGGGGATGCCCACAGCAAGCACAGTGGAACTCCGTGCCATCTGAGCCAACCAGTGGCCACAGGTTTTCCCCTCTACTTGCTTCCCTTCTGGTCCTGAAGCAAGTCTGTTTTCCTCTCCACTACCTTGACTACAGGAATGCTCAAGATGATTTCAGACCTCATAAGGGGCCTCCTAGAAGGGCTGTGTGTGACCCTGGAGCATGGAACTGTAGAGATTTGGGTGTCTGGTGTAAAGCTTGGGGAGTGAATGGGGTGCCCAGCTGGCTGCAAGGGAAGGGGATCTCCATTTTCTAGCAAGATGGCTCTCTGGACAAAAATTCACAGTCATTGTGTCATGGCGTCTTAGCTTCCTGGAACAAAACCAAGGCAGTCATTCCAACTGCTTTGCCTGCAGCTGGTCTTAGTCTCTCTCTCTCTCTTTTTTTTTTTTTTTGCAGTACTGGGGCTTGAAACTCAGGGCCTTCACCTTGAGCCACTCTGCCAGCACTTTTTGTGATGTTTGCCCCGGCTAGCTTTAAACCTCGATCCTCCTGATCGAGGAGGAGGATTACAGATGTAATAGCTAGGATTACAGATGTGAGCCACAGGCCCCAGCCTTAGTGTCTTAAGGCTATCTCTCCACCCATCTTTGCTGCTTGCTCTGTGACAGGGTTCAGCAGGCTCTGAGAGCAGTAGATGAGGTATTCCTAGGGAATAGGACACCAAAAGCCAGCTCCCTGTTCCCCACCACCTGTTCCCTTGGAAGGTAGTTCCTTGCCCTGACAAGTCACCTTCTCAGGGACACTGTGTTCCCAGGCCCCTCATCAACAAGCACGAGGCTCTTGGAATTGAGTGTTAGTTCCTCAAAGTCAGCTTGTGAAACCATCCACTACTCTCCCCTTTTCTCATGCTTCCAAGCCTGTCTATGCTCTCCTACACCACCCTGAATTTTCTTTCCTGGGCTGTCCCATTTTGTGTCATGGTCCTCAGAATGGTTATATTTGTCACCAGGAGAAAGAAGTCAACACCCACCGAGCTGCTGGTTCTTCCTGCTGCAGGCTTTCCCAGGGCTCTGATTCCAGGGTTGAGCAAGGAGGTATTGGAAGAGGTTTGGGGTAAAGGGAGTTAAGTGGGGGGAGGCCAGGACAGGGGAGTAGGGGTCCAATAGAGGGTGGGTATGCCTGTCCTAGCTCAAAATTCAAGCATAGTGCCTATGATTATCAGAAATGGGGTTCTGAACATGTACCCAACCAGAGCCCTGTCTCCGGTCTTAGCATCTCCCACCAGTGACAATGTCTCATTTATTCCTTTGTCTAAACCCCCATCTTCTGTCCCCAGCCAGGTCTTTCAGTTGCCTTGATTTGTCTTCAGTGGACCAGTTGTGTTTTCCTGGCACAAGGTCTGACCTTGCCTAGGTATGCTCCCCTCTATCCTCCCAAGTGCTTCCTGCTGCCCAGAAAAAGAACCAGGCTCCTCCCCCTGTTGTTTCCTCATCCTCCCTCTATTCAGAGCTTGCCCTCCTTCACCCTAGGTTCTTCTCTCCCTTTGATGGTTATCCCTTTCATCATGCTTCAGCTGGCACAGTCTAGCTCTTCCAAGTCACCTGGGAAACACTGGAGCCTGTGGTTTCTCACTGGCTGGGAAACATTTTTGGCTACTCCAGGAAGATGAGATCAGAGGCAAGGAGAGCAGAGTTCAAAGTCGGCAGCAAGGACAGGGCTGGCTGGAGTGAGGAGATCTACTCAGAAGAGTGTCTCAAACTGGGAAACCCTTTCCTCAGCTCAAGATTCAGGCAGCCCCTATCCCTTGCCTGGGGAGGACCAGGGGTTGGTGTTAGGCCAGGTGGACTGGCCTAAGGTGCAGGACCTGAGTCAGAACAGGAGGCCTAGTGATTTCTGCATTGCTGTGTATAGGCCACCTGCCTTGGGTCACTGTTAGCCTTTCCTGTGCTTCCTTGGAGCCTGAATCTGTTCTCACTCATCTGGGAAGGGGAATTCAGGATAAAGTGAGGGTTTGAGAGGCCTCTTTCAAGCCTAACCTTCAGGGCTGGCCCTTCTCCTTAATTCAACCACAGATAAGTGGGAGGCTCACATTTGCTCTCCTAGGTTGTATATAGAGCTATTGTTTCCACAGGGTTTCTTGTCTCATGAGCTTGGTGCTCTGGGTGGGGTAGAGACCTAACCTGCTCACAGGGTAGGCTGCCCTGTGGCTGGCAAGGGCAGAGGCACAATGACTTTGCCCCTGATAGGAGGTGGCCCTTGTCGCAGGAGGGGCTGTCTGGAAGCCTGGCTCTGTGCTAGAAAGAACAATACCTGTTCAGGAGCACTTGTTGTGTTTAACAGTACATATCTACTAGCTCCTTCAGCCTCACAATAACCTGTGGTAGTTACTTTTATTGTCCTCACTTTACCTGTAAGGAAACTCAGGCTTGGAGTAGTCATGTAACTTGTCTCCTAGAAGGAGAATATCAATCAGGACTTTGACTCAGACAGTTAGGATCTGGGGCCCCTGAGCTTACACTATTCCACATTCAGGCCCAAGTCATGGTTTACTGTTGGGGACGACTCAGGAGGGAAGAACCTGCATTAATTCTATATGACTTCAGGTTTCCTTAGGTTCATTTGTTTGACAAATTTAGAGTACACAGAAAAAAAAATAAGTAACAAAGAATCATATGCTATCAGCCTGTAATCCTAACTACTCAGGAGGCAAAGATCAGGAGGATCGTAGTTCAAGGCCAGCCTGGGCAAAAAAGCAAGACCCAACACACAAAAAAAGGCTGACAGAATGACTCAGGTGGTAGAGTGCCTGCCTGGCAAGCATGAGGCCCCAAGTTCAACCCCTGGTACCTCCAAAAAAAAAGTTTTAAATCGACATTTAGTAATTGTGCATATTTATGTGGCACAGTGTGTCATTTGTACACAATGTATAATGATCAGTTCGGGCATTGGTATATACATCACCACAAATATCATTCTAGAGCATTCCAAATCCTCTTTACTAGCTGTTTTGAAATGTACACTATCCGGTGTGCTGTAGAACATTAGAGGTTATTCCTCCCATTCAGTGCACACCTGTACCCATTAACCACCACCACCTCCTTGACCAGAGTTTTGAAAAGTTCTTGTTGGTTAGGCTTGCTGGCCCAGTCAACTGGCCCAGAAGGATGATGAAAGACCGGTGGGGCAAAGCCACCCAGCTAAGCGTCCCCCAGCCAAGCATAGAATAGAGCCCCAGATGACTCATAGCCTCACGATCCAGGCCAACCAAGATTTTCTAATCCATAGACACCTGAGCTGAAATACCAAACAGTAAGTGATTAGGACACTGAGTTTGGAGATGATTTGTTAGGTGGCATTTACTACTTGTTTGGGAAATATTTTCATTCCATACTGAATGCATACTTGTGTGCAGTGCACCCAAACAGATGAGTCCTTCTCCTCAGGAACCCTGGGTAGAGTGGGGGTATGGCACCAGGAGCTTGAGGGGATTCAAGGGCCTCTGCTTTCTTAAACTGGGCACTTGGTGGTGCCTTTAAATCAGGAGGAGTCAGAGGGAAAAAGACATTTAGATGGAGGTATCCAAGAAAGAACAGGATGTATAGGTGTAGAAGGGAAGAAAGAGGTCTGGCTTGAGACTGGAAGTTATCAACATAACACAATAATCTGCACCAAAGAGAAAGAGACAGGAGATGCTATGGAAATTCAGAGGAGGAAGAAGGGATTTTGGTTGGAGGAAGAAGAGATTTTGTTCTGAAGGTCACTTGGGTACTGGGTTTGTACTTATGGATGTGAACAGACAGGAGAGGCACATCAAACAGAATAAATAGGGTCCACAAAGGAATGGAGGGAAATAGGGAGAATAAGGCAGAAAAAGCAGACTGGGGCAAGGTCATGAAGTCTTAAATATCAGACCAAGAATGCTATACTGCTTTATTAGGAACAAGGCAGCCATTGAATATTTCTGAGTGAGGGTGGTGACACTAGGTATACTTGTGTAGCAGATGGGCAGTAATACACTGCAGAGTGAGTTTTGAAGTATAGAAATGAAGAGATATTAGTTCTAAGGAGCCAGGCGTGGTGATGCATATCTGTAATTCCAGCATTTGGGAAGCTGAGGTAGGAGGATTGACGATTCAAGACCAGCCTGGGCTACATGGTGAGACCTTGTCTCAAAAAATCAAAGGAAAGGAAAAAAGAAAAGATATCAATTCTAGTCTAAGCTCTTCTATTTACTGGCCTGAGGATATGGAGCAAATGATGTACCCCCTCTGAGCCACAACTGTCTCACCTATAAAATAGAAATAAAACTATCTGTCCTTCATTTGGCTCTTAATTAAGAACCAGTGAAAAGCCTGTGGTTAAAGTACTAGGAAGACCACAAAGCAATGCACAAGGGTGAGGGGTGGGTAGGTGTCATTGTGACGAAGCCTGCCTTAGCTGAAAGATGATACCAGGATTGGCAGACAGGTAGATGAACCCCCCCACCAAGAAAAAAAAAATTGTTTCCCCAAACCTTTTGGGGGGGGTTAAACCCCTCCCCTGTCCCTTCCAACTTGAGAGGAGATTGACCAGACGTCACAGTCATCTGTCCACTTCTCATTCTTTTTTTTTGGTAGGAACTGGAGGTTGGACTCAGGGCTGCATGATTGGCAAAAGCAGGTGCCTATCCTTTTGAAAGCACACCCTCCAGTCTGTTTCCTGGTATCTGGAGATGGAAGTCTGAGAACTATTTTCTGGGGATGGCCTTGAACTGTGATCCTCCTGATCTCAACCTCCTAAATAGCTAGGATTACAGGTATGAGCCACCAGGGCCTGGCTTAGCTTCTCATTTTTTTTTTTTTCAACAATAGTAAGGTTTATTAGGAAAGGAACTCTCCCACATTGCCCTCTACATAAACAGGACGTGTCATTTACAGTCCTGCTCAGGAGAGGTCTGAGCCAACTGCTGCAAAACAGGGTTGTAAAACAATTGTGTCCTCAAGGAGGTCACAAGTTAGTTGATTGATGAGCGTCATATAGCCAAAATAGTATGGTGTCACATGCTTGTAATTCCAGCACTTGCAAAGCTGAGGCGGGAGGATCTTGAGGTCAAGGCCAACCTGTGCAAGACTGTCAAAAAAAAAAAAAAAAAAGGGTACACAGGGTGGCATCTGATAATGGGTCAAATGGGTGTTCCAGATTCTTTCTGGTAGTGGATAAGGGGAAAGCTGGAGGCCAGTGGGCCAGGCCTGGCTTCAGGGAAGCAGGATGGGATGGGAACCAGGCCTTGAAGACTAGTAGGGTTTGAAAGAGAGGACATGGAATGGAGCACTCTGTCACCCACTGTTCTCCTCTTCAACATTTAAAGTGAGCACCCAAACAGCCATCTGATGTGGCAAGTTAAAAGCAGATATGACCACAAAGAGATACTGCTTTAAGTATTTCATTAGGATAGCCATTATCAAGAAGACAGAAAACACAAATGTTGGCAAGGATGTGGAGAAACTGGAACCCTTGTGCATTGTTGCTGGGATAGTGGGTTCTTCAAAAAGGTAAGACTATAGAAGAATTTACCAATAATTCAGTGATTCCACTTCTCAGTATCAGACCCCAAAGAACTGAAGCAGGGTTTTTTAATTAATTTATTTATTTTTAAAAATTAATATGTCATACAATGTTTTTGGGTCTTCTTCCCCTCCCCTACCCCTCCCTTACACCTCACCCTCTCCCCTCTCCCCATTACCCCTTCGCTACCGCATTATTTTTGGCCCATATCCTCAAGTTTTTGTTGAAGAGAGAGTATAAGCAATAATAGAAGGAATCAAGGGTTTTTGTAAGTTGAGAGAAGGATAGCTATATCAGGAGTTTGACTGCATTGATCCTGTACAGTGTGGTACCTTCTAAGGTTAAATTCTTACGTCAAACCTAACCCTTTTCTCTAGGTTCCTGGTTCTGGAAGCAGGGTCTTGAAGCAATGTTTGTACACACACACACACAGGAGTTTGAACTCATGGCCCATGTTTGCTAAAACAGGCAACTCTACACTTGAGCCACCCTGCCAGCACCTGGTACAACGCATGTTCACAGCTCCTTACTCCCACACGTTAAAAGGTGAAGTCAATTCCTGGATCTATGGACTGATGGATGAGTGGATAAGCAAAATGCTCCAGCTGATGGAATTTATTTAGCCTTAAAAAGGAAGGGGATTCATTCAGATGCATGCTACCACATGGGTGTGCCTGTAAGACATTATGCTACAGGAAATAATCCAGTCACAAAAGAACAAATACTGTATAAGTCCACCTACCTCAGGTACCTAGAATGGTCAAATTGAGAGACTGAAAGAATGGTTGCCAGGATCTGGTGGAGGGAGGAATGGGGGAATTAGTGCAGAGTTTCCATTTGGGACGATGGAAGGGCACAGGCAGGTTTGAAATCTGTGGCCTAGTCACCCAGACACCTGGGCTGGGTGGGGGAAAACAGCAGTGTGGCCCCTTCCCTCATGTCTCCCTGTGTCCCCAACAGCAGGTCCCAGTTGGCAGCATGGCTTCTGCCGAGCCCCTGACAGCGCTGTCCCGCTGGTACCTGTACGCTATCCACGGCTACTTCTGCGAAGTGATGTTCACTGCGGCCTGGGAGTTCGTGGTGAATTTTAACTGGAAGTTCCCGGGCGTCACTAGCGTGTGGGCCCTGTTCATCTACGGCACGTCCATCCTCATCGTGGAGCGCATGTACCTGCGCCTTCGGGGCCGCTGCCCGCTGCTGGTGCGCTGCCTCATCTACACGCTCTGGACCTACCTGTGGGAGTTCACCACCGGCTCATCTGCGCCAGTTCAACGCCTCCCTGGACACTACCCAGTTCGACTTTGACTTCATGGGCCTCATCACCCTGGAGTACGCCGTGCCCTGGTTCTGCGGAGCCCTCATCATGGAGCAGTTCATCATCCGCAACACCCTCCGCCTGCGCTTTGACAAGGACGCGGAGCCCGGGAGAGCCTAGTGCCCCCCCGGCCCTGGCCAATGGCCATGTCAAGACTGACTGAGTTGGGGGACTGGTGGGAGGGCCTGGAGGCGGTGGGGGGGGTCTCTCATGGAACTCATAGACAAAGAGACCAAGCTGGGGGGGTGGCCCCTTCTGTTCAGCACAAGCCCCGTGCTCCAGCTGGGCCTTAGCTTAGTAGGGCAAACACAGCCTCACACCCACAATGGTGGGATGGTGTTGGGGGTCGGGGTGTGGAGGCAACAGAAGGACATTGGGAAGAGTCCGTGGATCTCAGCCCAGCCCAGGGGCTGGTGGCAGGAGGCTTGTGATTGAGCAACGATTGGACTATATGGATGACTTTGGAAGCAGCAGGCCTACCCTAGCTAAGGGACCTTGAGACAGGGGCTGCAAGATGGGAAGGCAGTCTGAAGGAGCTTTGCGCCATTGCAGCCACCTCTTCACGCTACCATCTGGAACTTAGCGGGCTTGGCTGGTTTCAATTAGGCATATTCAGGGTGCTGCCTTGCAACCAATACTCCCTGGGGGCTCTTAAGCTGCAGCCCTAAGAGAGACCAGGCCAGCCAGGAGGCTGCTCCGGGGGCAGTGGCCGGTGGTGCCAAAGGACTGGGAAACCTTCCTCTGGTTCCTCTCTGCTCCCCCAGGGCCCTACCCCCTCCACTGCTCCTTTGGCCCTCTGGGGGCCCCCCCTGTGGTGCTGGATTCCCACCAACCTTGGGCTTTTGGAGGTTTCAATCCCCGTGTGTTCGGTGGTGTTCCCTTTTCTCTTATGTTCAGGCCTTTTCCACTAGCAAGCCCTTTTCTCCAGGTCAGTCCACTGTATTTTCCCATGCCCCCACCTCCCTAGCCACAAGAAGCCCTGACACAGTCCTCTTCCTGCTTCCTGAAAGCTCCCCTCCACTCCCTTGCTGGCCTATGCCTGGGAGGTTCTGAGTTCTGCCTTCAATCTTGGTCCTGGCAAGGGACCTGCTGAAAATGAATGGTATGACCCAGGGCATAACTGTGCTGAGAGGAGGCCCTGTGGGTCCTTAGTGGAGACCTAGAGGCAAATCATTGTCATGAGGGAAAAGGCAGACCTCTAGGTCCTATTTGCCTTTGGTTGTTTATTTTCAAGCCATTCAGGCGGCCTAAGCCTAGTGAAGTGGAGATAGCAGGCATCGTTGTTGACTAGGGAGAGTGAGGGAGAGAAAGAGGACATTGAAAAAGCTCGTTGGAGCCACCCTTCACGGGAGGGATAGATTTTTAGTTCTACCATGGCCCCAGCTCTGCAGCTGAACCTCAGGGACTGCCCCTCGCACCTCCCTCTCTAGCAAGAGTGACCCATGAGCTTGTTCTTCTGGACAGTAATAGCCCTGCCACACTCATGTCGCATCATACTTGATTGTCTCCATTTCCCCATGACGGGTCATTGCTGGGCAGTGAACAGGCAAAATCTTACTCCAGCCCCTCTGGCTCCATGCCCAACTCTTTTGAGGTAGCGTTCGCATCATAAAAAGTGGACCATGCCAATGGATGTGGTTTCTCTGCCAACTAGAGCTTGAGGTGAAATAGCTTCCCTTTCTATAGATCACTAAAAAAGTGACAGTAACACTTGTGGGAGAGAATCCTCTTCTGAGCTGTTCCACTTGGACCATGCAGACCTCACTGTCAGCGCAGGCACCAGGGTGTCCCAGGGCCTGAGAAAGGCTTTGGCAGGATTTTCTGCCAGTTTTCTCTGTCTGGGGCAGATATAAGGTGGTTCCTAGCCTGCTTCTAAAAATCTCAAGCTGTCATTCTAATGGAGGCTAAAATCTGCCTTCGATTTTGTTTGTGGACCAATTCCAGGGTTGGGTTTACAGGATCAGGCTTCCAGTAGGATACATTGCTTTCCATCGTACAAGGTGGAGAGGATTCCCCATTCCACTGGGGAAATTTTTCCCTGGGTCCCTTTCCCCAGTTCCACGTTTAATCCTCCACTTCTGTACTCTAAACTCCCCTCCCAGGCTGCCACCTTCAATAAGCCCTTATACAACTGAATCAAGTGGCTGGCCTGCTGAAGTCTCCCAGTGTAAGACCACCCTAATTCTCAGTAGGAGTAAAAGCCCTTGGATGGCCCACCAGGCCTCACCATTCCAGATATTGCCATTTAGGCATTCCCCAGCACCAATTTCTCTCTGGGCCCTATAAATCCCAAGCACTGGAGTTCCTGGGGTGAACCTGCGTGCCTGGCAACATTCAGCATTGTGGTTCTGCTTCATCTAGGTGCCCCATTTGTCCTATGGTCCCTCATAGGACACAGAGCCCTCAGCTAGGGGAGACTAAAATGCTGTGGCCTGACCACCAGTTCTGCGGCTCAAATAGTACACAGGGGCAGCCAAGACTGCAACTATAGGTAATCTTCTGGGCCCCAATCCCTGTAGTGCCAGGGCTCAATTTGTGTGGAACTCTAGTTCACCAGCAGTGGGGATGCTGGTGGGGAGGCTGCTGGCTTTTTGGACCTCTGATGTTCAGGGCCTTCGCCGGCCATGGGCAGCCATCTCCAAGTTACAGATCGCAAACGGCCTGCCTGCATGGTTGACTGCTTTGGACCGTTTGCTAGGCTTTCCCTGTGCCCTGTCCCCTCCTCAGTGCCAGGGAAGTCAAAATGGCCTATGCTTATTCACAAGCAAAATAATTATGTAGGAGTGCTCATGAAAGCCTTTTGTCCTGTCCTGCTCGCATGGTCTCCTGGGGGATGACACTTGCTGAGTGGGTTGCTCATGTGAAAATTCATTTTGTGAAGCTTCTGGGCTGTGCAGATGCATCGACAGGGCCAAGGCGAGCAGAGGCCTGCCTTGGCTAGGCAGGGAGAGTGCCTTCCACCCTGGAGCTGCCCAGAGGAAGTAGCTTCAGACCTGATTTGCAAAAGGGCCTTTGAAGTGGGTGGGACTGTCTTCCTACTGGGCAGCCTCTTGAGAAAGGCACAATGACTGGTTTTTGTGCTTTCCATTGCCTGCTTGTCTCTGTTGGTCTTGTCTCTTCCTTTTCTATCTGTGCACATAAAATAATACTGGTGTTTGTGTTCCGGGACTGGCTGTGAACCCATCTCTTCCACCATGAACTTCTTCCCACCTTGCATCAAACTGTCCTGAACAGGAGGGCTATTGGGGGCAAAGGTAGGAGGTATGGCCCGCCAGTCCTCACTATTCCTGCTTGCCCTCTCCAGTTATCTGGAATCCACCCCACTATACCTCTCAAGCCCTTGTTGGCGGCAAGATCTGGTCTTTTATCTCAAGCTACAAGGAGAATGAGCCCAGGCAGGAATACAGGTGGCATGCAGCCTGTTCCATGAAGTGGGAAAAAGGTTTTTCCTCTTGAACACATTGGCCATTGACTGGAAATCCAAATGGGGTAGGAAGGCCTAAAGATGGAGGGAGGGTACCAAAGAGCTAAAAGGCACACCCCTTTGCATTAAATCAAGTTATTCTTCAGGGTGCCAGTGGTCACACCTGTAATTCTAGCTACTTGGGAGGTAGAGATAAGGAGGTTGCAGTTTGGAGGCCAATCCAGGCAAAAAAAGCAGGAACCCTATCCTCAAAATTACCCGACACAAAAAAGGGCTGGTGGAGTGGACTCAAGTGTTATAGCGCCTGCGCTAGCAGTGTGAGGCCCTGAGTTAAAACCCTAGTAGCACACAAAAATAAATTAAAATTTAAAAAAGAAAGAAAGAAAAAAATGTTACTCTTTAAGAAAAGAGCCCTGGCTCTTAACCTGGCAACCTGCTTCCTGAGAATGTGCTACGTTAATACCTCTGTTTTATCCAGCCCCATCCCCCTCCCTGGTCACCATGTCTTGCAACTTTGTACTTTCCAGAGGATTTTAGAAGGAACTCAATGTGTTTGGCTAAACCCAACCATTGCCTGGAAATCCCTGACATGCCAGACTATGGAACCTACAGTGAGCTTTCTAAAACCACTGGGAAGGCCCTCTGCTTCCTCCTGCTCCTATTTCACTTGAACTTATTCATTTCTTTTCTTTTTCTCCTCCCTCCTTCCCCTTCTAACGTCCTGTCCCTTCCTCCCTCCTTCCCCTCCTTCCTCTCCTCATCCTTCTTCTCCTTTTTTTCTCTTCCTTCCTCCCTTCTCCTCGCCTTCTTCCCTTCTTCCCTTCTTCTTTCTGCTCATCTCTGTCCTCTGTCTCCTTGTCTCTGTCTCTGTGGTCTCTCTCCCTCTCTTTGGTGGGACTGGGCTTTGAACTCAGGATTTGGGGCTTGCAAAGCAGGTTGCTCTAGTGCTTGAGTTCACCTCTGGTCCATTTTTGCTCTGTTATTTTGGAGATGGGCATCTATTTGCCCAGGCTTGGCGAGATTTTCAAGTAGCTAGGATTACCAGGTTGTGAGCCACCCAGCCCCGCTAAATTACTCAATTTCTTTGGGGAAGCTGAATTTCCCCCCTTATAAAAAGAGCTAACACAAAAACCCCAACAGTCTTTTAACATGTTGGTGTAAACAACCTATAAGATGGTTCTATTGGGGGAATGATAGTATAGGAGTAAACCTAATGAATCATCTACTTGTATGAAGCTTCAGAAAAGAGACAAGAGGCAAAGGCCCAGATGAGGGGACGCCCAAGATGTCCTAATTATCCAAGCTCATGGATGTCTTTTCTTTCTTGATGCTTCCTTCCTCCCCTTCCTGGCTCTTTTCTCACTCAATCCAAAGTGACCGCTTTAAGGGAAAAGAAATGCATTGACAAGAAATGTTCCCAAGGAGAAGCAAATGGCAAAGGGTCTGTATCTTCTGAAATCTTCCACCTTCACAAAGGCCTGAAGACATGACGACCGTAACCTTGACTTCCTGGATGGATATCTCAGAAGGGTAACATTATATACACTGCACTCAAGTATCAACCAAGGGTCAGGTGGATTGTTTTGGTGAGCAGAAGAAACAGAAACAGGAAAAGGCAAGCCACTAACCTTAAGCTTAGAGTGTGGGCCTTATTTAACATCACAGCTGTGGCTTTTTCTACTAGTACTAGCACTGAATTGTCATGTGCATGCTCTCACACTTTTCTCCATTTCAGATGG